GAGCTGGGTGGAGAGGGCAAAGGGGGTAAAATGGAGGACATTTATAATACTCTCAACAATAAAATATTTTAAAAAAGAGAGAGAGAAGCCTTCATGTGATCTGCTCAATATCACATAAGTCAATCAATAGTCATTGATTTATTAACATTTATTATACATTCATTCATTAACAGATTTATTTATAGGTCACAGAATCACATTTTTAAAAAGAGAAATTGAAAAAAAGCATTCGGGTTTTTTTTTTTTCTTAATAACTGGAAGACATCAAATAATAAATGAAAGAAGAGAGTCAGTATATATTTTGGGGGGAAACCACATTAGGAGCTAAAAATCATTCTGGTTAGGAAAGAACGTCAGGAATCTGCATGTCATATCTTTTTTTATTCCTTTCATTTTAAGACTAAATCCTCAGATAGGCTGGGAAAAGAATGCAACAAAGAGCATTATTTGTATGTCCTTGTAGAATTCACAGTTTTAAAATCCAAACGCTTCAGATGGTAGTTTCATTATATGACTTATGCTATAAAGATGTGACTTTTTTTGAAAAACAGATTTTTATTATTACCAAAAGGCAAAGAGACTCAATAAACACACATCAGAAATGCCCAGCATATTGAAAGCCAAACCCAATTCTAAGAGCCTCTCCTCTACGCATTTTTTTCTCTTTTTTAGTAATATTAGGGAAATTAAGAAATGTATAAAAAATAAAATTTAAAAACCTCAAGAGAAAACTGTGGCTAACATTATGATGTTTCTCCTTCTGGTCTTTGCACTAATTATATTTTACCAAAATCATAATCTTCTTGCATATATATTTTATATCCTGACTTTCTTCACCTAACATTTTATGATTACCAGTTCTGAATTTCATTCAATATATCAAAGAGGTATACAGATTTTGTTATCTTGATTTTTTTTCTGAATTTTAGAAATAATGCATGCTAATTTTGATGGGTAAAACAAATTATCTATAATAATAAAAGTGTAATGTGCTAATTGGACCGAACAGCCGAACAACCTTCCAGACGTCATTCCTGGCGAAGCTGTGGCGGCGGGGCTGGGGCAGAGGTGGTTAGGGGCATTCAGGCAATCAGGCCGAGAGGTTAGGGGCGATCAGGCAGGCAGGCAGAGGTGGTTAGGGGTGATCAAACAGGCAGGCAAGTAGTTAGGGGCATCAGGCAGGCAGGAGACTTACATGACATTCCAAGTCCAGGTTTATATTTTACTTAGGTACCCACCTACAGAACTATCACAAGGCCATCAAGGACATTTTGGGCATGAGCTCAGAGTTGCACATATCTGTACACAATGTCTGTGTCTGAATTTTAACATTAAAAATATATATGCCTGCAATGCAAAAGAAAACATAATTTAAGCACAGTACAAAATACATTTTGTTTAAATTGTCTCAAGACTAGTTTATTTGAATACATGCAGGAATGGAGGGTCATCTTAAAACGGATAAAAGTTAATAGATTTTTAACTTCATGTGATCATGATTTTTTTATCCCTCTGAGATTCCACAGTCTGTTCCACACTTCTTTGTCTCTGGATCTATTTTTGAACATAACTTTTAAAAGCATTTTAGTTCCTAAAACAGTAACATAACTTACTTTCAAGTGATGTCAGTCTCTTTTTAGAAAGCTGCCTATGAGGAAAAGACTAAGTATCAACACCTTAAAAAACACTCACTCTCATTTAAAGCTTTCCTCTGGATTAGCATGAGCACTCCGGAGTCCCAGTCACAGTGCAGGTGCATCCCCAGCACCAGCGGCTCTGGGCGATGGTCTGTGAAGGCAGAGCATTCCCAAAGTGATCGCCCCCCTTTTACCTCAGTAGGAGTTGACGTGCAATTTTTGACTAAAAGTACCAAACATCAGACGCCAATACCAGAGTAAAATACAACAGTATAATGCAATGTTTCTAAAGGAAGATTCCAGAAAGAGCTCTATAACATTTATAACCGTTTACCCAGTGGAAGGTAAAAGATGAAGGTTTTTGGAGAAAGTTACCAGCATGCCTCTCCTCAGAAGATCGATGGGGCTCTTTGCCACTCATCTCAAGCACAGGTTAAGTGCTTCAAAGAACCACCCAGGAAGTTTGTTTCCTCATTACCCTCTGAGGTTTTTTATTTTTCAATTACAGTTGACTTTCTTTCTTTTTTTTATCTATTTTATTGATTTTTTACAGAGAGGAAGGGAAAGGGATAGAGAGTTAGAAACATCGATGAGAGAGAAACATCGATCAGCTGCCTCCTGTACACTTCCCACTGGGGATGTGCCCACAACCTGTACATGTCCTTGACCGGAATCCAACCCGGGACCCTTCAGTCCACAGGCTGACACTCTATCCACTGAGCCAAACTGGTTAGGGCTACAGTTGACTTTAAACACTATTTTATTTTAGTTTCAGGTGTATAGCATGGTTGTTAGACAATTATATAATTTTTGAAGTGACACCCCCATGATAATCCTAGTACCCACCTGGCACCATAATAGTTATTACAATATTGACTATATTGCCTATGCTGTACTTTACATCTCCATCACTCTTCTGAGACTACCAATTTGTACTCCTTACTCCCTTTTTACCCAGCCCCCCAAAACCCCTTGGACCTGGCAACCCTCATTTTGTTCTTTGTATCCATGAGTCTGTTTTTTTGTTCCTTTACGTTATTCTTAAGATTCCACATACAAGTGAAATCATATGGTATTTGTCTTTTCTCTGTCTGGCTTATTTCACTAACATAATACCCTCTCTAGAGGGTACCCTCTGAGTTTTAGAATGTAAAGTACGTCCCTTGGACCAGATCTAAGCCACACAAGAGAGAGCTAGCTGCCTTGGGCTCTGTTCAAGAATCGCCCGCTGGAAAGAAGATATCAGAGCTCACAGAAGCCAGGAGTGCGCTTCTAAAAAACTCCTACCTTCTGTGGAAGCCAAATAAAAATGCACTTCTGTGTGGCAAGGGAGCGTTGGGAGAGACATCCTAATAATGAGAAGTCTCCCAAGAAGCACCTGCTAGAAAACGGGCCAGTTCTAAATGCAAGCTGAAACCAGAGGTGTAAACCAATACTCGATCATCAATAGCACCTGCCCAGGAAGAACTTTTTCTCCCCCACCTCTTCCGTTTATGAGCTCTAACCCGTAGTTAGCAAGATGAGGAAGGAGGATGGAGAGAGGGAGAGAGGGGAGGAGAGGAGAAAAAAAAAAGAGGGAAATCCAGTATTCTCATTTTCTATGGCTCCTTGCCTCTAGCACTCAAGCTAGGAGAGAGAAGACATGTAACTTTAACACAAGATTGAAATTTTGCTTATTACATGACTTGCAGATTATAAATCACGTGATTAGTGTTCTCAATTAGAAGTGATCAGAGAATTGTTTGACTTTAATTAAAGTGACCAGAAAAGTCATGGGAACTCCTTGAATTTTTACCAGCTGCCCTCTTCTCTTATTCTTCCTTGCCCTTGACTTCCAGGCTTCTGTCCTCCTCTTCCTGCTAGAGTTTAATAACAAACACCCACATTATTGAGTACTTACTCTGTGCTAGGCACTCGCCTATGTATTTTATGCACATTTCTCTTCATCTTCATGCAACCCTGAAATATCACCAGCCCACTTCAGGTGTGAGGACACTGAGCCTTCCCCATGGTTGCGCCATCGGAAGCAGAGGAGCTGGGAATTTACCCACGTAGCCTGACCCCACAGCCATCGGTCCACCAGAGGATGAGTGAAGTGTAGTCTCTTAGTTCAAAGGATAAAAAATGTCAGGCTTACTTTCTTTAATTAAATATATGCGGGTCTCCCTTATTTCATGAGAAAGTGGAAACATTCCACTGATGGAGAATTAGTAGAAAAGTCAACACAGCTATTTTTTTGTAATCATACAAGCTGCTGACACACATATTCTAAACTCCTGGGTGATGTCACTGTGTCAACAATCAAAAAGCCTCTCCAATCCAGACATAAAACAACAACAACATCTAAAATTTGTAATGTTTGACCTTTAGAAACTGCATTTTCATATTTTAATCCAATTTTATTCTCACAGGGATCCTCTGGGTGTGCATCATTTGTGCTATGTTTTTTTTATGAGGAAACTAAGATTAAAAGCTTTAAAAACCTGTGTTTTACTTAACATCACAAACTAATACATGACAGAGCCAGAACTAAAAGGGGCAGATGTCAAAGGGAAGTTGAAAAATTAACCCATTTTTGTATCAACTTCCAAACCTCTCTGCACCATCAATATTTATATTAATCATGCTTGACCCTTACGCTTCGCATTTTTCCATGCTCAAAGTGCCGCGCAAATCCTCTAACGTATATTGAAGCCCTCACTTCATCCCAATGAGATAATTCATGGAGAGTAACAACACACGTGGTTTTCAGATGTTGAGACAGGGGTTTTAAAGGGACCAACAAGTTCGCCTAGCCCGTCAATGCAATACAATAATCTTATAGAGTTTTACAAACTTGAGTTGAATTTATTCTTTAATATGAAAAAGACATGTCTTTTCTCATGAGAGAGATTATTCTAGAATTTCAAAGCTGTGCAAACATATTTTCCGTAACCTCGTCATCTGGATTGCCCTTCTCTGAGAAAGCAAAGGGTTCATGCAAGCAATTAGTTCTGCTGATTATGATCCAGGCTTTCTCTTTGTTCTTTTTTGGAATTCTAAGAGGTAAAATATTTTTTCTCTCTATTCTTCCTTTCCTTCTGAGCAAAGACTCATCAACATGCCCACTCTCCAACCTCTGTATTTTTCATACCCGCCCTGGCCAAAGCACTAACAGTTCATTAGCACAATGGTTCTCAGACTTTAGCATTCCTCAGAATCATCTGGAATCATCTTGTTAAAACGCAGATTGCTTCCCCCGGGGTTTCTGACTCAGTCCGTCTGGAGTGGGGAAGGATCGCTGGCATTTCTAACAAATGTCCAGGGGATGCTGCTGCCGAGCTGGTCTGGGGACCACACTTTGGGGACCACGGGACTGTACTTCCCCCACATGTTCCCCGTCCCCACAGAAAAGCTTCCAGCAGCTAAGGTTCATGAGCACAAACGGTGCTCAGTGCCTTGGCCGCACACTAAGGCTTCTATCTGGAGGGGAAAGAATGGTTGGCCTGACTCACGGTCTTTTCAAGCTTTGCCAGCCACAAAATTAAAAACAGAAAAGGGCTGCAGTGAAAGCAAAATGGAAACAGCCACAGTGACGCTGTCTACATGTTGAGCCTTACAGCGTGACTTCTGGAGTCAGGACAAGAGATACCGGGATGATTCGGGTGCCTGTAGGTGGAGCGCACTAGGAACGGGCACCACAGGCCTCACAGGAAACCGGGGCTCCTGTCCGGACCCCAGGACCCAGTCGGATGCTTGGCTCCCAGTTTTCTTCAACTGTCGACAGTACGTTCTTCCACTGACTTCTCCAAACACACATCGACCTAAAACGCTTTGGATGAACTACCTTCTTCCACAACTTCTCTACTATTTTTTTAAGCCAACAAGCAAATACCGTTGGAGCATCAGGCAGGTAGACAGAAAATCTGGAGAGAGATGCTGGCAAAGGAGTTTCCTACCAGCTCCTTTATTTTTATAACCATCGCCTCTAGACAACTCTCAAAGGAGACTTGAATCCCATTTTTCATCTCCTTGAAAAAAGGAAGGCATTTTAATGTAGTGGTATAAAGTACTTCAGTATTCTAGTTTATCAAAAGTGTGACTAGTATTTTAAATAACACGGATTAAATAACAAAATGAAACTGACAAGAAATATTATTATAAGACACAGCATTTCTGCTTAGAAAATAAGCTATTAATCCTACCTTTATTTAATTTAGCAATATTTTGCAGAAACTACTGACCTTTATTCTGATCACCATGAGTCCATTAAGTTTCAAGATATGGGCCAGCCAGTGAATAATATGCTACTAAGTAATAAACCCATACCATCCAATGCACTTTTTCTGCCCTCGTCCAAAGAAAAAGAAGAGAGATGCATAATGGCAACGTCCCTGAATGCACTAGTTTTGAAGGAAGGAAGCCACTCTGTAGGAGCATGAGTCACCAGAACTACTTCCTTAGTGATAAAAGTTGCCTAAGTAACCTAGATGCCTGGGCAGTCTGCTGGGTTTCAAACCACTAGTCATTTCCGTTACTTAATTGCTAACTGTTCTTCCCCACTGCAGTTTGGAGCCTGTGTTTTATGCAGTAACCCAGCAACTAGTTGTTATGTTGTATTTTATCAAGGACAACAGAACAGGAAATTTTACATTTCCATGGATTTCAGAGTAAAAGTCGGTGTTATTTCATTCTAACTTTAAGGGGAGATAGTTAAGTTACTCACACTAGGTCTCCCTGCGGTAGAAAGATTATGTAAGGCTTGGAGACAAAATGATTTAACAGAGAAGGGAGAAGTAGACCAGATGCCCTCTGAGCCAAAGGAAGGCGCTGGATTCATTTCTGCGTCCTTAGCACCCAGCAGAGAACCAGGCACACCTAGGACTCCAAATACATTGACTGAAGGGGGTCACTAATTCTCCGCAGAATAATCCAATCTGTTAAGTAACTGTGCCACTACCGAGTTAGGATTTCATCAGGCTGTTTACCACTTTCGTGCATTCTTTTACCCTTGAATCTACAAAGAACTGTCATATTTGTTACTCTTGCCCTTATGCACATGTGCAGTACTTCCCCTGCTCCCTTTAATCCTTCCAAAGATATGTTCCTATTGATTTCAGACAGAGAGAGGAAGAGAGAGAGAGAGGAGAGAGAGAGAGAGAGAGAGAGAGAGAGAGAGAGAGAGAGAGAGAGATTGACTAGCTGCCTTTTGTAGGCACCCTGTCCAGAGATGGAACCCACAACCTGCATATGTGCCCTCACCAGGAATCGAACCTGCAGGATGACACTTCAACCAACTGAGCCACATTGGCTTGGGCACATGTGAAATACTTTAAAGTATTTTAAATAGAATTGGTGTTGATGAGCATTACTTGGAAACAATCTTAAATGCATTGACAATAAGATTAGTATGGTGCGCCCTAACCGGTTTGGCTCAGTGGATAGAGTGTCGGCCTGTGGACTGAAGGGTCCCAGGTTCGATTCTGGTCAAGGCATGTACCTTGGTTGCAGGCCCATCCCCAGTGGCGATGTGCAGGAGGCAGCTGATCGATGTTTCTAACTCTCCATCCCTCTCCCTTCCTCTCTATAAAAAATCAATAAAATTAAAAAAAGATTAGTATGGTGCAAGAAGTGTTAAAAGCTGGATAGCAAGCTCATATGTGTTATCAGTAATGTTCCTTTAGCTTTGCCTTGAGAATCTTGGTTTTCCTGTAATTCACTGGATTTCTCATTTCACACAACTCTGTCATGATTCTTGAACGGTACAATATTAGTACCCCGCATGTTAATAAATCTCCCTAAAATTCAAACTAATGGAGAGTAAGTATGAGTTAGAGGTAGAGTTAGGGTTATGTGTTCCAAACATGTGGGCAGTTTATTTCTTTTCCACTAGCAAATGTGGTTAAGGGTTTTTATTCACTTAATTGTATGCAGGAGTCATATGTCATATATATCAAATTATTCTGGTGGTTGAGTCAGAATTAAGAAATGAGATCTCCATAGAAAACCCCTAAAACTGTCCTGAAATGTCTCGATGATTCATTAAGGACATCATATTCTCTGAATTCAGAGGGGTCCTATTGCAACAGAGCAGGAGCAAAAGAAGTCCAAAGAGATAAACTGACACTCTGATAAGAATGCCAAAGAGACCTGAGGATGTCACCAACAGCGGTACAACAACACCCTGGCATGTGAGGTGCCACAGTACAGTGAAGATACAGTGTAGAGTCTAGAACCGAAAGTCCTGGGTTCAAATCCCAGGTCTGCCACTTCCTGGCTGTGTGAGCCTAAGTGAGTTACTTACTTTCTCTGAAGTAACTTACTGTTACTTCCTTCCTTCATATGTCTAATAGGGCTGCTGTGAGGATTAAATAAGTTAGCGCATGCTAAATAAGTTAACACTTGGCATACATCAGAGGTTCAGTATATGCCAGCGATCATTATGATTACCATTAGCTTTCCTACCTGGGCCAGACTCCGATTCTAGTAATGACATCACAGCATGCCGAGTTATCATGGACATGAAACTAACCCAGTGTTAGCAAAAGAGAAAGCCTGATCTAGACATGCAAGGATCTCTGCACTGGATCGTCCTCACACATGTCTTAACTACTAAAGTTCTAGCCATGGCAGAGAGATAGATTACAATATTGTATCAGAATACTGTTTCATAATTTATGCTATGAAAAAATGTATTGAGTCTACATTCAATTCAAGTTCCCTGATATTTTTTGCAGTTATTCCACATTTCCATGAGTCACTTTAGAGAGCATATTTCAGTACTTAGCTAATTAGAAATACAAAACCTCACACAATAGTTTAGAAACCACTGCAATAGAATTATGAAGAGGGCTGCCAATCCCTTTATTCTGCTGCAGTTTACTCAGAATGGCTTTTCTTTACTTATTTCTTATGATTTTAATACATCTTGATTAAATTTTGCCTTGCATAGTTTCATCATTATGCCATCTTATATAATTTTCACAATAGTACATGGGATCCACAAGGACAAGCACACCAATACAGGAGACTTACATGGCATTCCAAGTCCATATTCACATTTTACTTAGGCAGCCACCTCCAGAACTATCACAAGGCCGTCAGGGATGTTTTAGGCATGAGCTCAGAGTTGCATTGCTCTGTACACATATGTCTGTGTCTGAATTTTCACATTTAAAAAGTTATGCCTGCAATGCAAAAGCAAAGATAATTTAAACACAATACATAATATATTTCATTTAATTTGTCTCAAGCCTAGTATATGTGAATACAGGCGGGAATCCAGGATTAGCTTACCACCTGATAAAAGCTAACACTTTTTTTAAAACTTTATGTGAACATCATTTTAAAACACATTTTAGCTCCCAAAGCCATAACATAAATTAGTCCCAAGATATATGTCAGTTGCTTTAAAAAAAAAAAGAAAAGAAAGCTTCCTACGAGGAAAAGATTAAATATCCATATCTAAAAAGCCACTCACGCACATTTAAAGTTCTCCTCTGCAATTAGCAGGGGCTTTTTGTCCTCCACACGACATCACATAGTGTCACTCTGATTTATGTGTTATTGTTTTTCTCATACTTGGTCTTTGGATTTTCACTTCTAAGCTCTTCAATGACCTCTGTCAGCATACATGGAGACCGAAGTTTGATGGGGTATATTTTAAACTGCGAATTTATCGAACATATTTAAAAGTGAATTAAATATTCAAGATTCTAATGAATGTCATTTCACTGGCTAAATGAATGTGGTATACCAGAAGTAAAGCGCCCCCAAAGTGTTGGGAAGATCGGTCCATTCATTACTCAGTTTTGAGATACGTGAGACGGACTTCTTTCATTTTTCCCAAATTCACAGGAAAGAGATTTGGGCTATACACATAACGATATTTCCTTTCTAACCTCACAGGTTGTCATAAATACAAACCAGAAATTATTTTTTTTAATTTTTCAGTTCTTTAAAAGAAACCTGTGCTATTAAACCATTATTACCATTAGACCCATTACCCAAATATCTCCTGAAGAGAACGTCCACCACTTGGGAACCAGATGATGACATCAAACAGGCCGAGCAAATTCCCAGGATGCCGAAGCACTCGGCAAAACGTCTCCGGTAACAGGACCTTCCCCTTTATCCTAAAAAATGGCAAAAACATTAAAGGTCAAAGGTCAGGTGCCTGCATGCTTCCTGTGGTAGTCTCACTAAACTGTGATGGTATTGGTTTGGTCTCTTTCAAATAAGGTCCAGTTTTTATAACTGGTTTGTGTTTGTTTGGATCAGGTGAACCAACATTGAAAATGGAGCTTCATGTCTTGGGCTAATATTGACTTGAATTTTTTTTTTTGGCACTAGGTTTTCCCTCTATATGTTGACATCTTTTGTTCCTTCTACATACGTTCTACCTTCTTTTTCCTTAATCATAAACTGTGCATTAGACTTTGATGAAATTACAAACTACACATAGTTCAATGGGAAATTCTAACCTTTTTTTTCCCCCAAGAAAAAGATTCAAAGAGATTTCTAGGAGTTTGTCTGTAAGCTTCTTTTTCTCTGAACTTTAGAAAATTTAGAGGAAACTAAAGTTCCTGATTTATCATTACCTGTGGAGACCAGACCAACACACTCACACCAGGTAAGGAACAATATAAGGCAATCGACATTCATTTATGTCAACAGACTAGAACTGCTGTAAAGGCTAAAACTGCATTATTCAGCTTTTACCCACCTTCCCCATAAAGTTAAACTTTATATAGACTAGAGAAGAGAAGACATTTCCAGCTAAAGGGATGCCAATGAATTATCTTTCACTTCAAATTAATTTCCCACCGACATTGTTTTTGTGTCTAATGCGTCCATTCGCTCAGAGCCCTGTGACTTGCCTGTCCTCTCTGGCTTCACAGCCTTCATCATCATTGTATCCCCCAAGATCACCTCCTTTTTACCATTCACCTGATCTACTGCCAACAGCCATCTAATTGGCTTCCCCCGCTCCTCCTCCAGCATGCCAGCACCATCGTCCTCAAATGCAGCTACAAGCATGCCTTTCTCCTAGTCACAAAGGCAGTGAATTCCCACTGCCCACCACATCAATTATACACTCCTCTCTCTGGCATTTGGTCCTCCAATGCATGGTCCCATGTTAGCGTTCAATGCCCTCTCTCCCCTACAACTGCTCCATCGTCCAGCCACCCTGCGATTCTTGCTACTGCCAGAATGTGCCCGGAACTCTGTCATCTATGCAATCTTTGTGTATGCTGTCTCACCTGTCTTAAACATCCTTTCTCTACCATGGTAAGCTGTAAAAATCATACCCATGCCCCCCAATACCACCTCTTCAAACTACATTTTCTAATCTCCCTCAAATGGACATGACCATGTCTCCATCAAAACCGTCCCATATTTCCTTCATGTCTCCATCAGGTCTCTCACTGGCCATGTCCTGCTGGGTAGGACAGCACTGCTGGGGGTTCCTAATCCTTTCACAAGCATAGGAACTCCCCAGAGGCATGCAAAGTGCATATACTGAGAAGCATGGCAAGCAGTGCAGAAAACGGGAAATACCTACCTATTGAATGGAATGTGAGGAAGGACCTGAGGCGGGGAAAGTGTGGTGTGTTCGTGGAGCAGAGAGAAGCATAGGGCCCCCCTGAAATTGCTGTCTGGTGGGCAGCAGTGGCAATAAGGATGGACGTGATACCTTAGCACGGCTTTCAAAGGCCACAGTTGAGCTATGCTCTTCAGCCTCCAGCTGCAGCGAAGTCTCTGGTTCCTTCCTCATCTTTATTGCAAATTGTAGCTACTTTGTTCTTTTACTTGAGTATTGTCTCTCTGAGCCACACATTCCAAGAGTGCATGCATTAAGCCTGCCTTGTTGATCTTTCCTGGACTGGCATGTGTCAATATTCAATAAATGTGTTTTGAGTAAGTTAATAAAATTTGTGGATCATAATAGCCTGTAAAGATGAAATGAAGTCACATGTAAAGTAACTAGCAAATGCTTGAACATAATAAGCCCTAGAAAATATTAGTCGCCTCCCTCCCTTTCTCCCTCCTTCCCTCCCTCTTTCCT